GGGTGGGGGGGTCCTGACTCGAATTCCCAAGCCTGGCTCTCTCATGATTCTCATGTGGCAGAGGGGTGTTAGTGGGTGATCCCAGGACAGACACCCACATCGCCTGGCAGCAGTTGCCCAGCCAGCCTAGGTCCTGATAGTCAACTCTCCTGACTCCAACCAGCTCATCAACAATGCTCAGTGCCCTGGTTTTCTGACAGATGACAGGCACAATCCCTGTGTTTCTGTTTCTAAGAATCACCCCCATTTCTCTTCCATCCTGGATCCTTCAGAGCCCAACTCTGCACTGGATTCCAGTACCCTATTTAGTAGTTTCTTTGCCCCTCAGTACTTAACTCCCTTGTACAACTCTTAACCTACAGCTTTCTACAGAATGCCTTAAAAATGGTGATATCTCAATTGCATCATTTGCTATTTATATTTCAATATTGGTAATATTATTCTTCATGGATTTTCATGCCCCAAATGATGATTTAACCAAAAGGTTTTGGAAGTTACTGACATTGTGAATCCTTTAAAAGGAAATTCAGTCATTTAGATTTTCATTGAGTCCCTGCCATTTTCTACATATACTAAAAACTGCTGATCATAGAAAGATGGCTAAGACATGGTACCTGCCTTCAAAGAGTCCACAGTCTAGAAGAGCAAAGAGGTCAACAGAAGAGAATATAAACAGCTAGATAATGACTCTATCAGATGTGTGTGTAAAGTATTGTAATGAGAAAATAATGACGAGCTCCTCTTGGGATAGTCAGGAACTGTTTATCTATATTTCTACATATACTCTAATCTAATTTTTTTTGTTATGATTGCTTTCTTTCTCTATGGGTCATTAATATATTTGTGATGCAGTCTAACCAGGCTGTTTAATTACAGAAGGACTCCTGTTATTAACTTGGATTTTAGATCTAGAATACATGCTTATATTACATTAATTTACATTTCTCTATTTGTTTCATTAAAAGGAGACCTAATTTTTTTTCAGTATGAAATTACACAGAATAATCCCAAGTTTTAAATGTGCATACACAATATCATCACTAAAACCCTATATGTGTATATATAATTTTCTGGGTATAAGTATATGAACATATACTTAACATCACTGTAAATTTTGTGTGTCTTTATTGTAGTTAGCCTATACAATAGCTCCAAAAAATATGCTTGGGATATATGTAACAGATATTTTGCCCCGATCCTTCTAGAAACTCTTCCTTTTTGAAATACACACTTCTGTCACAAGGTGAAGTAGAAGTTGCCACGTTCCTAAGTTGTGACTCCTCATCTACCCTGTCTGGACACAGCAACCAGAGATGAACACCAGACTCAGCTGGATGGTCAGCACACACCCTCTGAACTTGAGTGTCTAGAAAGGTCACTCTCCATCTTGAGGCCTACATAGCAGTATCTCAGACACGGGATGTTTAGAAGCCATATTCCACCAAGGAAATTAAAGATGAGGGAAACCCAACCATAGTAAGAGAGTAAAGAAAATGAACTCCTTCTAATGAGGATCTAAACTGCATTGCCAAGTTTCTCAGAGGCCTCCAAGCCCCAGACCCAT